AATCCTCGTATCAGTTCAGGCTGCTGATGGTGTATTAGAGTGAGCAACACCAGTCTACCCTGAATATTGCTGATGTTTGAGATGACTCAGGTTCTCTCAAACTGGTTTTTGTTTGTTGTTTTTTAACATGACGGTTGGTTCACTGCTCTCAAATGGCCATCGTCAATCCAAAGAGGACTTTGGGATGTGGTGCAACACAAGAATTCATATCATGGGTGTGCAGCTGTCAAATCTACAGCAACTGTGATGATGTCATATCAATGTGGACCAAAATCTGATGGATGTTTCGGCACCTTGTTGAGTCTATGCAGCAAAGAATTACAGCAATTATGCAGGCGACAGGGGTACTAGCAGTTTGTACCTAATAATGTGGCAGCTGACTGTAGATGAATCATTGGAATAGAGTCCAAACTTTATAGCTGCCTGATTAATAAAGATTATTGATGGAAAAGCCTTTGAATCGATTGTCCCAGAAAATGATGGTCTACATGCGCTGAAACAGCTAAAATAACTTAAGTAGTGTTGGTGTCCAAAAATATGCAGAGTGCAGCTGCAACATTTTGGAGGAGTCTGGTTTTTATTTCAATATTGTTTGTTTTTTGTTTTTCACTGGCGTTTGTTTACAAAGGGTCCTTGAATAATTCTGTCTGCTGTATCTCTCTGTAAAGCTTTATTAAGGCGAAGTTATTTATTTATTTGTTTACATTTGATCACTCTTTCCCAGACTTGTCCAGTTCTCCTCCTGGCCCCTACCTACAGGACGCATATGTAACCAAGCCAGATGACAAACTCAAACATCCTCCTTTCTTACCTCCTCACCTGCTGCAAGTGCTGCTCAACAAGGACACTGGTATTTCTGTAAGTCCAGGCTTGATGTTGTTATATATAATTATTTATATGCATATGTTTGATTCATCCTGCTGTGAATTTTCCACAGTGTGACCCGACACTGCTTCCAGAGCCTAACCATGTGATGCTAAATCACCTGTATGCCCTCTCCATCAAGGTAACAAATTGAATAATTATTATTATTTTTATTTTTTTTCCCAAATTGTTAATGCTGTAGTTCAGATTGTGATTGTCAGTTCTCACGGTGCTGTGTCAAAATGTCATGTGATTGTGGGTTGCTTTCTGTTTGTTTTTAAAGGACGGAGTGATGGTTCTCAGCGCAACACACCGATACAAGAAAAAGTACGTGACCACTCTTCTGTACAAGCCAGTATAATCCACGGAGGTGCGCTCCCTCCTCCTCTTTTGAAATCAATCTGTTGGTGTACACAGCTGCTATCTGGACTGCTTTGCTGAAACTGGACCTAAAGCATCTTCCTGATATCGGTTTAAAACATTTGATAAAGTTGGTGATTTTGAACTGTTCTATGAGCTCAAAATTTGAAAATGTTGAAATGTTCAATGTTTGCAAATACGTGTTATGTTATGAGCAGGCCGGTGTTTTAAAAGACTTCATTCCAACTTCACCCTGATTAATTAATACAAGTGTGGTTGCTGGAGACCAAAATGACGAGGACGGGGGAGATCTGTAATCGCTGAACTCTGACGCCAAAGCCTCAATTTTGACGTTTGTATTGAAGTGACCTGGAATTGCCTGAAACTGAGACTTGAAAAATGTTAGTTTTACCAACCAGGAGGCTAGCACAGCTGCATCGGCTCTCCTTACGCGAGGAAATGGACACAAAGACACTAAAAGGTGGAAATGTAACATGTAATGTATTTCATATGATTCCTGTTGTTTTTTTCTTTTCTAAAAATACAATGTTTTTCAGATGACACATTATAAATCAGAAATAAAATGAAATTTTCATAAAAAAATGATGACTGCAAAAATCCATTAGTGCTGTGAGTTTTTGTGTTTGTGCGTGGGTTTTTATTTTTTGAGGTTGTATGATTCGGTGCTCACACTGGGCTTTAGAAACCAGGTTCTTTTTGGCGTGAATTGCACGAGTACACTTATTTTTAGCTCAGCATGAGATGAGCATCAGTGCCCACCTGTGCAGCTGTTATCTTTTTTTTTGTTTTTTTTGTTTTGAAAGATGCAATTTGTATATTTGTATATTTGCATAAGCATTCACTGCACCTACTGTATCTACATCCAAGTAAAGATTCACATAATCAAATTGTTTTTAAATTGACACGATGAAAAGCAAAACCTGGAAATGGTTCAATTACATATTTTCAGTCTTTTTTTCCTGTTGTTTGTGCCCATAAAGAAACAAGTTTAGCAGAGTGAAAATCAGGTAAGGGAAGCATGACAGATGTTTACTTCTATTGCACAAACATGTAGGTAAGGGACATAAATAACATGAACATATTACAGAATTATATTTTTAATCAACTTGGTAGCTCTTGACACTTGACGGAGAACAAATTTTGGGGTCAACTTGAAAGAAAGGCACATGTGAAATGTAAAAGAGCAAATATGATATTTAGGTGCAAACTGTTATGCAGCATTTAGAATCCCCATATAGTGGTATCATTTCCTGTAATATGCCAATACAAGGCATTTATTCCCCTCCAATCATGGACCATCTTCTAATTCAGTGAATGACGGTCAGCTTATCATTGATCTTTCCACTCAAATGTGGCTGTTCTTCTCTGTCACCCAATTGCAGCTGCTGCTTCATCAGCTGCAAAGCAAACAAACCCTCTATACTGAAGCCTTCCTACTGCAGGATGTCACTGACAGTAGCCTTGGTGCATAACTGCAAGTTGTAATAAGAAGCTGCAGACCTCAGATTTTTAGGGACTTCTGGTGTAGATGATGAGGCATGCGTTCATGAGTATTTTATTTAGTTAGCAGTAGTTTAAGTTGAAACAGTGGTGGTATAATAGTGGAGTGATGAAAAGCTGAAACAAAGGGATTTGGGTCATCCCACTAACATCTTTACTCTCATGGAGTTATGTGC